GTGGAGTTCCTTGAGACTACCTCCCAAAACATGAAAGGCTCTACAGCAAATGCAAGGATTATGATTATTACTATCATCAATGTGTTCCCATAGATTCAGCTATTGTGTCTGTGATAGCTCTCTGATAGCACTCTCTCCATTTAGCCACAATCCAATGCCTCTTCCCTTTCCTTTTTAGATAGTCCGTCCAACAGGATCCCTCCCTCATCTTTCAAGGTCCATCTCTTTCACCACATGTTCGGTCATATTTCCCCTCCCCACCACCTCGCTCCCACCCTCAGCTCAGGTAACAGGCCAGGCACTTGTTAAATAAATGTAAAAATCTTGCATATTTTTGCCTTTTCACATATTTCAATCCCTTTCAAAAACCAAATGGATTCTGTTTCAACCACTGTTTTTGACCGTGCCCTGGGCAAATAAACGTCTGGGTAAAAATAAATATTCTCCTTCCTCCATTCTTCCATTGTTTTGTTTGGTCCCACATTACATTGCAACAGGAGCTGTACGCAATTGGCTGCCGTGTTTTGCCCACAAAATATACAGTCAATTCACTTTCCAGTATATTCTGTGAAGTGCTTTGAGACGTCTTGAAGACATGGTAAGGCACTGTATCAAATGCAACAATTATTATTATTTATTTTATTACATTGAGAGACTTCTTAAATAACTCCCAACATCCTAATCCCTACCCCTCTCGCAGGTAACCCAGTCAGTGATTAGACTCTGTGTAAAGAAACACTCCCTGGATATCTGCCTTTCACGTTGCTAAAAGTGTAGACTCTTGTACTGCTGTGTCTTAGTGTAATCTGAAAGCTTTGTTCTGGAATTAACTTTCGCAATCCCATTTAGCATTTTGTCCACTTTAATAATAATAATCATATTTGATACAGTACCTATTTCATCAAACCATCACAAAAATCTCCACACTGCTGTAAACTGAAGAGACTGTGCATTTATAGGTGAATAGAAATATAGCAATTGGCACAAAACAATGTCCCACAAACCGTCAATTTTATGTGGGGGATTGTCAGCTAGGACACCAGGACACTGAGCTCAAAGCTCCAATAAGCTAAATAAAAACAGCCTGGAGAGACAGCCAGATAGTCTGTCCACTCTCACAAATAGTTTTCATGTTGCTGAAGCCACACACTATACAGAGAGTTCACAGATGTGTAGTTCACGTGTCATCAGGACTATGTCTTTGGGAGAGGAGCAAGAGGTTTTACAGGCAAACTATTAGGAAGAAGTCCAGAAACCAGGGAAAAGGAAACCCTCGTCAAATTCAGAGCAAGTGAAAAACAGAAATGACTGCTGTTCATAAGCCAGCACTTGATCATTCTAAAGGGCATAGACAAACTGAGCCCATGTTTAACATGGGGAACAAAAATCTACAACTAGGATATTTAACAGGAAGATATGTGGGAAGTAAACACATAAAGTGGAAGGGCGAAATAAATTTTAAAAATCTTCCATGATCAAACAAACTGGTGCAACTAACTCGATGGGCTCAATTTTGTAATAATAATAATCCTTGCATTTGATATAGCGCCTCACTAAGTCTTCAAGATGTCTCAAAGCGCTTCACGGAATATACCGTAAAGTGAATTGACTGTATACTTTGTGGGCGAAACGCGGCAGCCAATTGCACACAGCAGTGTCTCACAAATGTTATGGATTGAGTGACCAAATTATTATTACTTTTGTGTCCTTAAGGGGACACAGATTCAAAGGTCATAAGAGGGGATGGTGAACAGACAGTTCTGATGTAATAAGTTTACGCAGAAAGCAGTGAGATTGTGGAATAGATGACCCTGGGAGGTGAGGGATACAGACTGTGCCAACAATGCTGAGAGGGAGTTAACTATTTGGCAAAGATATTGATTGAGGGTGTGGGAGAATCGTGTAGAATTTAAATTTTTTCTTGGGACTTGCCAGATGGACCATTTTACTGTGTATTCCTCAATACAAAGACACGGAGATGGTAACAACATCCAATTATATAGCACCTTGCTTGTGGGGTAAAACAACAACTTACATTTATACATTTATACAACTTACATTTATATAGCGCCTTTAATTTTGGCTGGAAAGTTACGGGCTTGCACCTGAGCTGGGGGCTGGAATCAAGAGGGGGGGAAAGGGGCTGAAAGTATAATCAAGGAGGAAAGTAATTCAAACGCGCCTTGAAGGACGCAAGGGAGGGGCGAGGGGGAGAGATTCTGAGATGGAATTCCAGAGGGTGGAAGCAGAAAAACTGACAGCCTGACCGGCAATGGTGGAACGGGCAGGGAGAGGACATGGTGCCCGTTGAGTGGAGGCTGGTGACTGCCGAGCGGAGGGATGTTGGTTTGGTGTTAATAGGTCACAGAGGTTGGAGAAGAGCAAGACTATGGATAATCCTCAGGGTGCTTTACAAGGAGATGCTGAGCAGGGGAGAGGGAAGTGAACCATAGGGGGTTTATGAAATAGGTTTTAAGGCAGGATATGATGATAGATTGGGAGTAGGGGAGAGATTGAGGGCTAGAGGGAGTGAGTTCTGGAGGTTAGGGATGTAGAAACCAAAGGATCAGTCACAGCTAGTGGTTTGGAGAAGGCAAGGGACGCATGGAAAGCTGAGCGGAGGGGGTGGACAGAGGAGCAGGAGATCAGAGAGGCAGAGAGGTGCTAGGGCATCAAGAGATTTATTGGTAAGGATCTCAAAATCTAATTGAGAAACGTATGACTGACGAAACGGTGAAGGGTTATTCCTCTTTTTATATTAAAATAAAGTTGCTTTAGCACTTTAGAACCAGTCACTTGGGGCCCAACACGATGATCTTTTCCTGTTTCCATAACACTGATTCTATAATAATAATAATCCTTGCATTTGATATAGCTCCTTATCACGTCTTCGCGACATCTCATACTATTCACAGAATATACTGTAAAGTGTAGTGACTGTATATTTTGTGGGCGAAACGTGGCGGCCAATTACCCACAGCAATATAACAACAATTTGCATTTATATAGCGGCCTTCACACTGGGTAATGTCCTGGAGCACACAATAATATCCCACAAACCGTGGATTGAGTGACCAAATTATAATTATTTTTTTTGAAGGGATTATTACAGAAAAGCACCTGCCAATCAACTAACAACTGGGTTGCTACTTACTTCTAAGAAACAGAGGCGTGTGGCGTAAGGAAATTTGCCTGAGGTTTTGCCGCACCCGGGAATCGAACCCAGGTCCTCTTGCTTGCGAGGTGAGTACTCGGGACATCTGGACCCAAGCAGCCAGCCAGCTTTTGTATGGAGTTTGGCTTTCAATGGGGGAAAAACACTCTCAATGATTTACGCTGCTGTTTACTGCAGAGATCCATTTTCACTTGTATCTTATTTATTAGATACTCGGGTACAAATGTTTTGGCTACGCAACCAGGGAGCTGCGCAGACGAAAATATTATGCACGCTGTGTTTTGTCTAACTGCAATAGGGCATTCAACATAGAGATAAGAGGACGCTTTGAGACAAGATAATTAACAGCATTGCTCAGATCAGGCTGGACCACTGCAATGCACTATAGCAGATAACGACAGCTTGCAATCATTCCCCTCCTGTGTGGCAGGAGATGGATATTGCTGGTTTTAAACAAATCTGGTCTGGAAGTAAAGATAAACACGAGTTTTACCAGTTTTAAGAGTCCCAGAGATCTCAGCCATCTCGAAGTCTGAGAGATTATGCAGGGTAGAGACAAGGTAAATAGTGAGAGATTATTTCTGTTGGTTGGCCAGTCAGCTACGAGAGGTTACAAGGGCAAAAGGAACTGAAGGGGAGGTTAGAAAATATGTGGCCTGGAATGCGGAAATCAGTACCACAAACTGTTTTTGTTAAAGGGAAATTGGACTGATGCATAGAATCGTAGAATCTCAAAAATTGACAGTGCAGGAGGAGGCCATTCAGCCCATTGAGTCCACTCTGGCTCTCAGAGCAAGCTGTCCATTCAATCCCACTGCCTGCTCTTCAACAACAACAACCACTTGCATTAAATAGTGACTGGGAGCTGGAGATTAAGTGCGTGCGTGGGAGACGAAAGTGGCTGAAAGCGCCGTTGGAAAGGTAGGGATGGTGTGGTGGTGGGGGAAGTGTGGGGGTGTAAAGATACAGGAGCTCAGAGGTGAAGATGGAAGGTGGAGAACTATTAAAGAGTGTGGGTGAGCAGAATTAGATTAGGTGTCTAATCAGACTGATGGGCCAATGACCAACAGGACTCTATATAAATGCAAATTGTTTATTATTGTTGCTGTGTGCAATTGGCTCTGTGCTGTAATGTTCTGGGATTCTAAATCACTGTCTCTAAGAGGAGGGATAGACAACAGGCAACCACCTGATGGGGAAACAGGAGAACAACTTACAGTAGTATAGCATCTTTCGCACTTGGATAGTGCCAAGTGTTCGGGCTTGACGCGAAGCAAGCGAGAAAGCACCTTGAGACATTCTCCAGCGTGAAAGGGGGCATACAGTAGTCATCAAGGAGCAAATGCAACAAGAGGATTACAATCGGACCTAGTATCCAGATTAGTGACCTACTTACTCTCCAACGACTACTGCCAAGTCACTGTTTTAGATCATGTGGAAGACAGTTTCCTTCTAATACAGACACTTCCACATCCACTGCCTTATACTGGTTACATTCACCACAGTGTCTTCAGAACCTTTAGACTTCCTGTGCTATTTACTCAGTCATCAAATGGACAAATACCAGCTTTGGGGCTTACGTACAAAAAAAGTTACTACGATGGACAGCAATTACCTGTGAATCACTTTCTGACAAACTATAACCTTTTAGATGCTAAATAATAATGATAATCAATGCATTTGATACAGCGCCTTATCACGTCTTCAAGACGTCTCAAAGCGCTTCACAGAATATACTGTAAAGCGAATTGGCTGTATATTGTATTGTTGAGGCTTTCTGACATACAAGCTCCATCCTTACTTTACAGTCACAGGTGTAACTCACCACTTCGTGGACAGAGCGGTTAAATGCGTCGTCCTCTGTCAGGATCAGCAGAATGATGAGCGCCATGTAAACGTGATGTGAGTTTCTCTCCTCGACATGATACAAGATCTCAAGGATTGGAACAACCTGTGCAAAGAACAAAGCAAATGCTAAACTCCATCCCAAAGTCCCTTCACCTCGTCCCTTTACCTTACTTTCTTCAAAGTCCGACTCAAGACCCTCTTCGACCGCGCTTTCGGGGGGACCCTCCCACCCCAACCCTCCCTGACCTCCACGCCTCCTGATCTTAAACCCTAGCTCATGTCCAAGTACTTGACTTTGAATGTCCTCCCAATGTGTAAATATCATTTGTGGTTGTTGTTGTTGAGATTCACGGTTCTCAGAAACCAAGATACAAGATAATCTGCAAGATAATCTCCTGCTCATAGCTAGATCTGATCTGTAGACAGGGTTCTTAGAAATGAAGATATATTTGTAATCCAAAGTCAACTAAATACTAGACCAAAAGTAGCCCAACATTATGAATGGCCTCCGATGGGTAGCAGGGTGTGTGTGTGTGTTGGGAGGGGAAGAGAGAAACCCAATTCAACACCCTGCATTTGGCACAGGATACACCTTCGAAGAAATGGGAGGGCTAGAGTATATATATAATATATATATCACTCAAACCATGTCTGTTTGTCTGGCTGTGCGCAATTTGCTTCCGTGTGTCACAACAAAATACACAGTCAATCCACTTTACAGTACATCCCGTGAAGCGCTTTGAGACATCTCACCGATGTGATAAGGTGCTGTAAATAATTTAATTTTATGATTTGGTCACTAAATCCACGATTGTTTGTGAGTGACAGTTGTGGCTGACACTTTTTTCCAACAAAATGCATAGTTACTACACTTTATAGTATATCCTGTAAGTGCTTTGAGATGTCTCAACAATGTGATAATGCTCTATATCAAATGCAAGGCTTATTGTTATTATTATGATTACAAACACCTCACATTCTGTGCGTTATATAATAATAACCCTTCTATTTAACATATTGCCTTTCAAGTTGGGAGGACATCTCAAAGCGCGACACAGGATATACTGTAAAATAGAGGTAGAGTGACTTGTATTTTGTGGGCGAAGATGGCAGCCAATTTGCACACAGCAGTGTCCCACAACCAGCCATGTGTTGATTGACCGATTTTATTTGGGTGGTCGGCCAGGACATCAGAGAAATTCCCTTCTCTTTTCGAATAGCGCTAAATGTTTAATGTCACTTGAACCTCGGTCCAACGTCTCATCCGAAGGCCGACAAGGGGCTCGAACCCACAACTTTCTGTCTCAGAAGCGAGAGCTCTACTGCTACGTCATGCTGAGATGTGTACATAGTGCCCTCCAGGCAGGGATGTAGAGGGAAGGGCTAACTTGGGACTTGTTTGGGGGACGAAGGAGGAGGGAAAGACCAGGGACAAAGGGCCAGAATTCTGGCACAAATTGGACTTGCAACACTGAGTAGCAGAGGCAGGTTCTTCCCTGCAATTACCTGCACAGCGAGCTAGTGAAACAGGCAAACAGCCACAGGGAATGTCAAACGGAGGTCAGATGCCTCCACAGGATCTACAACACAGAAGCTTGAGAGCAGACCTGATAGAGGTGTTCAAAATAACTAAGGGTTTTTGACAAGATGAACAGTGAGAAGCTAATTCCACTTGTCAGTGAGCCAGTAACTCAAGGCCATCAATTTAAGATCATCAACAAAATAACTGGGTGAGGGGGGAGCTGGGCCACAATGTGGAAATCTCTGCTAAAAACAAGTTGTTGAGGGCGAGTTCTTACATAGTCTTATTCACTTATTCATATTCTTAAATGCTATTAAGACATTACCCGGCATGAAGGGCGTTATATAAATACAGCTTGTTATACATACAGATTGTATATAATAATAATAATGATTTTTGCATATCACATCATTCAGACATCTCAAAGCGCTTCACAGAATACAGTGTAAAGTGAATTTACAGTACAGTATTTACAATGAAGTGTAAAGTGACTTAACTGTGTATCTTGTGTCCGAAACAGATAATGTACACAGCGGTGTCCCACAAACAGTTATGGATTGTGTGACCAAATTTTTTTTGACAGATTGTATAGCACAGAAACAGGCCATTCATCCCAATTAGTCAATATACTCCATCCATGTTAAGTCTTCAGTCACTCTTTACTCTTTCCCACACTCTTCTATTCCCTTCTCCCTTGTGTCTATAGTTTCATCTTAAATGCATCTATAGTTCCATAAATTGTTTAAAAAGAAAATTGGTCCATGCATTTGACATAATGCCCTACCAGGTCCACAAGACATTTCAAAGCGATTCACAAGATCTTTACCGTGAGTGATTCTGTACTCATAGGCCGCTTTTCAAACCGTCGTTTCCCACAACCAGCCAATGAAATGAATGACCAGTTTCTGTGTGGGAAGAAGTGGGGGCGAGGGGGAGTGAGGGATTAGGCTGGGGTGTTAATGTGCAGAAAAGCATCGGACAAGACCTGTGGTTTATTTCTCACATCTCTTAACATTCTATGTTAGGACCCAGGTTCGATTCCTGGGCGAGGCAAAACCTTAGGCAAGTTTCCTTAGACCACATGCCTCCGTTTATCTAGCAGCAAGTAGGAACCGGTTGTTAGTCAATTGGCGGAATTGCTTTCTGAGTGTAATAATCCCTTCAAATTTTTTTTAAAAAATAATAATTTGGTCACTCAATCACCGACTCTTCGTGGGACGCTGCTGTGTGCAATGGCTGCCATGTTTTGCCCACAAAATATACAGTCAATTCACCTTACAGTACATTCTGTGAAGCACTTTGAGACGTTTCAACGACGCAGTAAGGCTCTATATCAAATACAAGGATTATTATTATTATAAACTCCTCAGATGGGATGAACTGCAATCCCGATCCAGTGAGATTGCCATGAGCTGAGCCGACACAGATCCCAGGGTGCTTACCAGGTTCTCCACGTCGGTCCGTGCCAGCATGTAGGTCCTGACATTTGGGTTCTGGTGCAATAAGGTGTACAGCAGGAGAGTGGCCTGGTCGGAGTTCTGCTGTTGGTACAGGGCTGTGTACAAGCTGTTGAAATTTATCTGGAAGGTGAACGGGTTTGGCGACTGCAGAGCCGTGCTGTCTGAAACAGAGGATTGTAATAAGCCAGTCAAGCAATAATAATAATAATCCTTGCATTTGATACATCACGTCGTTGAGAAGTCTCAAAGCGCTTCACAGGATTACTGTAAAATGTATTTTGTGGGCGAAACATGGCAGCCAGTTACGCACAGCAATGTTCCACAGCCATAAAGTTATTATAAGCCGCAGCCAATTTTATTTTGGGGGGGTTGTTGGCCAGGATACAGGGCGATAGAAACTCCTTCCTCTTTTCGAATAGCGCCATGGGATATTTTAACATCCACCTGAACAGGCAGACGGAATCTCGGTTAACGTCTCATCCGAAGGAAAGCATAAGAAATTAGAATTAGAATTTATACAGCGCTTTTCAAAAAAAAGCTCTCCTTTGTAAATGGATGATTGAGGTGATGCCCTTGCCCACATTCTGGGTCTGTGTTTTAAGAGATCTGATAAATGTCTTGATGTCAGTTCAAGCCCATCTCATTGATTTTTTTAGTGAGTGATAACGCAGTAGGTAATGTGAGGGGGAATAGGAGACAATTACTGCAGTTATTGTGAATTTAAAACTTTTAATCCAATTAATATTGTACATTCAATATTATGAAACGTTCATAGACAGGACAGGACCAGACTATTTTTGTAAACTGAAGGAACAAGCAGGACAGAGAAGGTTTCTCCTAACATTATGAAGGGTTAAAAATAAACAATTCCTGTGTCTTGAGCCGCTGACAGATACAATGTGTGCCACCGGAGGTGAGGAAGTTAATATTTAACAAAACGGATATCGTTTATGAAGCATGCGGTCCTAACACAAACCTTGTGTGTTCTTGAAGGACATTATCGACTGTCTGTATGGATTGGGGCTGTCTGGTACATCGCTCAGGTTAACTAGAACAAGCAGCAGAAGAAGGCTCTGATTAGCCAGTGGTGACGAGGGTTCCTCCTGCTGGGCTGGCTTACTCCCAACGCCTCCTAAGGTTAGCACTGTCCACAGACCAGCTGTTCAAGAGAAAACATATGGGAGGGAATGGTTAGAGAGAGCAGAACGAACACAAAAAGCAACGAGGGGTAAGAGAACAAGATGAGACTATATTCAGGGTTTCATTAATCCATTAACATTCATCCAATATCCCTTTTCCTCTGAGCCCCAGGTAATGAAGGCCATTATGTTGATAGGTAAGCAAAATGGAAGCCCATGGTATTAAAAGGGCAGTGGCAGCATGGATACAGAACTGGCTGGGAGACAGAAAGCACTACAGAGTGTGTAGTGGTGTCCCCCAGATGTTGGTATTGGGACCACTGCTGTTATTGATCTAGAAGCATCCTGGACTTCAATATAGGGAGGACAATTTCCAGGTTTACAGATGACACTAAGCTAAGAAAAGCAGCAAACAGTGAGGAGGATAGTAGCAGACTGCAAGAGAACATAGACAGACTGGTAAAATAGGCAGACACGTGGCAGATGAAGTTTAATGTAGGTAAATGTGAAGTGATGCATTTCGGGAGGAAAAATGAGGAGAGGGCATATAAGCTGATGGTACATCTTAAAGCGAGGTGAAGGAATGGAGAGACCTGGGGATTCATCTAAGTAAATCTTTGAAGATGGCAGGACAGATAAAGCTATTAAAAAATCATACGGGATACTAGGCTTTATAAATAGGGGCGTAGGATACAAAAGTCAGGACGTTATAATAAACCTTTATAAATCACTAGTTAGGCCTCAGCTAGAGACTGCGTTCAGTTCTGGGCACAACACTTTAGGAAGGATGTCAAGTCTTTGGAGAGGATGCAAAGGAGATTTACCAGGAATGAGGGACTTCAGTTATCAGGAGAGGCTGGAGACACTAGGATTATTCTTCTTGGAGCAGAGAAGGTTAAGAGGAGACTTAATAGAAGTTTTAAAAATTATGAAGGAATTAGATAGGATGAACAAGGAGAACCTGTTTCCACTGGCAGATGGGTCGTTAACCCACGAACACCGATTTAAAATAGTTGTTAAAAGGAACAGAAGGGAGGTGAGGAGAAACGTTTTGCGAGTGTTGGGATCTGGAAAGCATTGCCTGAAAGGCTGGTGGAAGCCGATTCGATAACAACTTTTAAGAGAGAAGTAGATAATTATTTGGGGAGGACAAGTTTGCAGGGCTATGGGGAGAGCGCGGGGGGAGTGGGATTGATTTGGAAGCTCTTTTCAAAGAGCCAGCACAGACACGACGGGCTGAATGGCCTCCTTCTGTGCTGTATAAATCTATGATTCTACGATAACATTATTCCTTGCCTTTGATAAAGCACCTGTCACATTGGGAGAATGGTTCAAAGCGCTTCACAGGAATTATTGTAAAGTGTAGTGACTGTATAGTTTCTAGACAAACACAGGAGCCAATTTGCACCCAGCAATATCTTTTTCGGTCAGCCAGGTGTCTCTTAAGCATGGTGATGGAAACCATCACCATGCTTAAGAGTATCCAGCAAAGACCCAATTAAATTAAGTTTGCTCTAACCAATACTCCAGTATCTGTGACACAGCAAGTGAACAATATGTGACCAGACTAGACAAGCTTCTACTCCCCTGTTTATGTAACAAGACATCCCATCATTAACTTGAATTAATAGAGGGAGAATGTTGTAGGTATTAAAAGGCCGTTAAGACAAACATTTTATAGAGTACAGGAGAAGTGGGATGTCGCAAACTACTTTTTTTTAAAAAATCAATCTGCTTCCTGCTCACAAATAATGGACTATTTAATACCCTAAATGCATTTGTGTCTTGTGATAAGCTTAATGAAAGGGACTGAAATCAATAGCCTGCTTTAAAGATTGCCTGTTGCTGTGCTGGATGTCTAGACAATGTGTTGTGTAAATATTATTACTGGTAGTTCTAACCCTGTTAATTTGGAGCCAAGATGTCATAAGCTATGAAAGGAATAAGAAAATCTGTCCCTTGCACGAGATGTTAAACTGAGCCCAGAAAGAGGATGTGTGCGAAGGACAGAGAAAGTGTGTGACCCAGAACTAAAACCCATAATCTTCTCACTCAGAAGCCAGAGTGCCACCAACTGAATTAAACTGTATTGACTTGCAAAGAATTGGATCTAGTTACATCACATCCTCTCTACCTGTTCTCAAAACCTACCTCTTAAACTATGATTTTAGTCACTTCTTCTCCTACCCTGCTTTCCCACCTTGCTTAGTGATTCACATTGCCTCCCAAACAAGTGAAAGGAACTTCCAGGTCACACACTTTCTCGAATGTGTCGCATGGTGCATGAAGGGCAGAGGAAGTGTGTGACCTGGAATTGTGACCTCCTCCCCATGGGAAAGACACTATATAAATGTAAATTTATATTCTAATCAAAAACCAAGGAAGGGTAGAAAACTGAGTTTGAATGACAGATTAATTCTATAATCATTTATAGCTCAATGGCTTGGGAAAAAGGGGACACTACTAGAACAACAAATTGCATTTATATAGCGCCTTTCATCACAGGGGAATGTCCCAAAGTGCTGGATAGTTGAGGGTTTGTGCCCGAGCTGGGGGTGGCAGTAGGGACGCAGTGGGGAAGAGTGTGGAAGGGAAGATGACCGAAGGTGCGATGACAGAGGAAGGTCTTGAGATGGAAGGGGCTAGTGAGAAGCTAGTAAGACCTTTTAAACCACATCCCAATATCTGTTATTAATAATACTGACATTTGCATAGTGACTTTCACATCAGTAGGATGTCCCAAAGCGCTTCACAGCATATACAGTAACGTTGACTAAAAGTGTGTTCAGTGGGTGAACACGGCAGCTAATTTGCACAAGACAAATCACAACTACAAAGAGCCATGAAATGAATGATCGATTTTATTGGGGGGNAGAATGTTGGCCAAGACGCTGAGAGAGAAACTTCCATCTCCTTTTGAATCGTTGTAAAGAATGTGAAAATATTTTCCATTCACCTCATTTGAAATGTCCCAAAGCACCTTCACAATCAATTGCAGTCAAGTGTAGTGACTGTTTGTTGGCAAATATTATAGCTATTTTCACCAGCAAAGTCTCACAAACTAACGAGAGGTGAATGTTATTATTATATAGTTTGGGACATGACGTGCATGCAATTGCCAGGACGGTGAACGGTGGAAGGTGAACTTGGTCTTCTTTCGTCTCACAAATTCTTATGTATGTCCAAGTAATCTCGAAGATGAGGATTGTTGGCTAGGACACTGGGGGAAAAACTCCCTTTTCTTTTCCAACTGAGTCATGGGATTATTTTTAATGTCTACCCGAACAAGCAGACATGACCTCAGTTTAATGTCTCATCCGGACATTGGCACTGTCAAACACAACCCCCCACCTCACACACACGGTCCATTGGACTGCGCTGGAGTGACAAATCTAGTAAACACTAGTAAAATTGTAACTAAAACCACTTCAACTTAGTTTCTCACACCCCCATCTACAAATACTGTTCCCCCGCCCCACAACCTCACCCCAATTTCCTGTCTGTCACAAAAAGAACGAGAACGGACGCAGCCAAGACACATGGTGTGATGGAGGCGAGATTAGAAACTCAGTTGCTGTCTGGTTCTGGTGAGAAAGTCTTTGATTGTGGTTAGTTCAGCTGTTGTGTTCACCTCTTTTGAAAGGTGTCTCCACAGGCACCTCCAACAATGCAATTCCTTCCCACCGCTTTACTGCAGCTACAGTTAGATTTGGAGCTCAAGCCCCGACTAGAACCCACCATCGTCTGACTCAGAGGCGGCAGTGCTAACAACCAAACTAAACTGTATTAACTTGAAAAAATTGTTTCTGCTTACATCCAACCAATAGATCCTCTCTACCCATTCTCAAACCTACGACCACAAAATACAGTCACTACACTTTACAGTATATTCTGTGAAACGCTTTGAGAGGTCTCAATAACGTGATAAGGAGGGACTATATCAAATGCAACGATTATTATTATTATGGTTTTGGTCACCTTTCCTCCTACCCTGGTCTCTTGTTCGGTGATTAATGTCCACCTGCAGACGGGACCAAGGTTTAACTGAACCAAACTGTATTAACTTGAAGAGTTGGGTCATCCAGCACGTTTTCTCTCACCTATATGTTTGACTATACTTTCAGTCACCTTTCCTCCTACCCACCCCCGCTCAATTTAAGGACGACACTTCTAACAACGAAGCATATCCCAGCACTGCATTGGATTACCAGCTTAGACATAGTTAAATATCCCAATATGGGGCTTGAACCCACAACCTTCTGACTCAGGCAAAAGTGATACCAACTGACCCCTGACACTCAGAAAGCAAAGAGGGGAAAATGGTGCTTAAAAAAAGTCACCAGATTAACTGCCAGGGGATAAAAGTCACTGGAAAATTCCTCCCCGATTCCTGAAGGCAGTGGCTGGAGCTCCAGAGATTAGAATCCCGCTACCAGAGGGAAGAGTCATTCACTATCTAACTAGAAATGTCATCCGGCATCAGAAGACATTAAACTGTGAATGTACATTTCAAGAGTATACCAACAACAACAGCAACAAAATTACATTATACAGCGCCTTTCACGTCAGGAGGACGTCCCAAGGCGCTGGACATTCAGTGTTTCAAATCAACAGAATGCTTCTTTAACATTCCCACGCTCTTGAAATAAGGTTTGAGTGTTTTGCATGTGTAAGAAATGTTCCAGAATAAGGCCCCACAGTAGTCTTATCCTTCAGTATTCATGCAAAAAAAATAACAGCTCTGTATATAATTTTTCTTAAATTAAAAAAAATCTCTATGTATTTTATTTGAAACTCCCCAGGAGGTGTTTGGTATCCTGACGGGAAGACTATCTTTGCCAATTTTCCGAGGCGAGACACTGAGAGAAGTGTCTTCACCCAGCCTGGGCTCCTAGTCGCCCCTGCTGCTCATTAGCTCCAAGTAAACTCAAGCTCAAGCTCAAGGAACAGGAGGCATCTCTGTGCTGGTTATGTGTGATCACGCTGCTTCCCAGGCTGCTACACAAACAGGACAGGAAAT